TATGACGTGGCTGTCACATCAGTGATACCCAAGCACATATGCACACATTTGATTCAAATCCAGATTGCTGCTCAAAAGACTAATCCGACTCACATTGAAACTGGCTCTATAAAAATATTTATGAGTTCCTTACTATATCCTAGCCATGAATGTAGTTGGTATTTTCAAGGTGGGCAGAAATACTGTATTTTAAGATAACCCGAATACAGAAACCAAAAGTACATTATATTTAAGGAGTAAAAAGCAAGGACAAAAGAGTAGTTCTTTAAAACCAAATGCATGATTACATTAACATTGTGCACACAAATCCATAAAAATACCACCAAACATAAATCTAATCATGACTATGTGAATTTCCTTAACACCACAAGAAATTATAAAACTTGAACTGATAAATGCCCTAAGTGTCACAGATAATTATTCTTACACCAATTTGTTTTTAGTGTTTGGAAACTTCGTGAGAGGCAAATCAATCTGTAACCCTAAGAATGGCCTTTAATTATGAGGTATAACCTTAATATTGTTAGGAAAAAGATTGTGTTATCACTTAAATATGCTCGGCTCATTATTCTAATTCTGTATGTGGCAAAACAAAAAAAGTAGAAGACTGTTTAACTCAACAGTAAATGGAAGATACAAACAACACCCAAGCTTTACTAAATGGCAGAACATTTTTAAAATATAATTAAAGGTGTTTATCAGCTCTGATCTCCAAAATATATAGAGAACTCAGGAAACTAGACTTTAAAATGCTAATTAACCCAATTAAAAAATGGGGCACTGAACTGAACAGAGAATTCTCAACAGAAGAACTTCAAATGGCCAAAAGACACTTAAGGTCGTGTTCAACTTCCTTAGCAATCAGGGAAATGCAAATCAAAACAACTTTGAGATATCATCTTACACCTGTCAGAATGGCTAAAATAAAAAACTCCAATGAGCCGGGCAGTGGTGGCGCACGCCTTTAATCCCAGCACTTGGGAGGCAGAGGCAGGCGGATCTTTGTGAGTTCGAGACCAGCCTGGTCTACAAGAGCTAGTTCCAGGACAGGCTCCAAAACCACAGAGAAACCCTGTCTCGAAAAAAAAAAAACCAAGAAAAAAAAAAACTCCAATGATAGCCTTTGCTGGAGAGGCTGTGGAGGAAGGGGTACCTTCATCGATTGCTGGTGGGAATGCAATCTTGTGCAACCACTTTGGAAATCGGTGTTTCAGTTTCTCAGGAAATTCGGGATCAACCTACCCCTGGACCCAGCAATACCACTCCTGGGAATATATCCAACAGATGCCCTATCATATGACAAGAGCATTTGTTCAACTATGTTCGTAGCAGCATTGTTTGTGATAGTCAGAACCTGGAAACAACCTAGATGCCCTTCAATGGAAGAATGGATGAAGAAAGTGTGGAATATCTACACATTAGAGTACTACGCTGCGGTAAAAAACAATGACTTCTCAAATTTTGCATGCAAACGGATGGAAATAGAAAACACTATCCTGAGTGAGGTAACCCAGACTCAAAAAGATGAATATGGGATGTACTCACTCATAATTGGTTTCTAGCCATAAACAAGGGTCACGGAGTCTACAATTGGTGATCCCAAAGAAGCTAAGTAAGAAGGTGAACCCAAGGAAAAACATATAGTTGTCCTCTTGGCTATGGGAAGTAGACAAAATTTCCGGGGAGAAAATTGAGATCTTGGGGGTGGGGTGGGATGGGGGTAAGGGGAGATGGGGAGAGAAAAGGGAGAAGTGGAGAATGGGGGGAACTTGGGGAAAAAGGAGGATTGGGATAAAGGAAGGTTAGATAGGGGAGCACAGAAGCACAATTCTTAGTTAAGGGAGCCACCTTAGGGCTGGCAAGAGACTTGAACCTAGAGTGGCTCCCAGATGCCCAAGCCGAGGTCCCCAGTTAGTTCCTTGGGCAGCTGAGGATAGGGAACCTGAAATGACCCTATCCTATAGCAATACTGACGAATATCTTGCATATCATCATAGAACCTTCATCTGGTGATGGATGGAGATAGAGACAGAGACCCACACTGGAGCACTGGACTGAGCTCCCAAGGTCCCAAGGAGGAGCAGAAGGAGGGAGAACATGAGCAGAGAAGTCGGGATCACGAGGGGTGCACCCATCCACTGAGACAGTGGAGCTGATCTATTGGGAGCTCACCAAGGCCAGCTGGACTGTGACTGAAAAAGCATGGGATAAAACTGGACTCTCTGAGCATGGCGAACAATGAGGGTTGATGAGAAGCCAAGGACAATGGCACGGGGTTTTGATCTTACTTAATGTGCTGGCTTTGTGGGAGCCTAGCCAGTTTGGATGTTCACCTTCCTAGGAATGGACGGAGAGGGGAGGACCTAGGACTTACCACAGGGCAGGGAACCCTGACTGCTCTTTGGACTGGAGAGGGAGGGGGAGAGGAATGGGGGGAGGGGGAGAAGGGTGGGAGGAGGGGGAGGGAAATGGGAGGCTGGGAGGAGGTGGAAACTTGTCTTTTTTTTTCTCCTTTTCTCAATAAAAAATGGGAAAAAAATAAATAAATAAAATATAATTAAACAGACATTAACAATGGTGGTTTATTGAATCACCAGGCCTACCTATCTGCACAGAGCTAGGAAAACCAAAGGCCATACTAGCCACTTTCCATCTTAGCAAATAAAGTTGTGTATAACACAGCCACACTCACAGCTTTATGTTCTGCCAATGGGAATTTTTGTGCTGTAAGAGCAGGGCAGTTAAAAGACCATTTGATTCACAAAAACTGTACCCTTTAAGTACCAGGAAAAACAGTTTATCTATAGGTAACACCTCATGCTTGTGTCAGTCTTGCTGAAGACACTACTATTAGAATCGAAGGTCTTTCTCTTTAAAGAGGAGAATTCTTAAAGAAGCACACTGCTTTTCTTTATTGAGATTTATTAATGGTCAAAATGCTTCACTTTATTGCAATTCCATGTATATGTGTGTGCACGCGTGCATTTTCTTCACCCATTCATCCAGAAATGAGCATATATGGTTATGTGTTCATTCCATAACATGACTTTGTTAATAATATGAAAATAGTCATGGGCACAATAAGAGTTTCTGTAGCCCAGAATGACTCTTTAAGGCATATCTAGAAATGGTACAGCTGAATCATAAAATACTTCCATTTTTTTTTTACTGTCAGCAAACAACCTCTAAATTGATTCCTACAGCGACTTTACCCATCTACATCCTCAACAACATACACTGCCAATCCTTTCCTACATCCATGTTCATGTCTTGTGACTGATAAAAATTCAGAAAGGACACGTACAAATACTTTTCCCGTCATTATTCTCTCAATGCTCTATCTATACAGTATTTGTATTGGATTAGATATTATAAAAAGAATAGTTTAATTCTGACTGTGATAAGACAGAATTCCAGTGTAGTAAATACGGATTTCCATAAGGGCTAAAGATCTGAACCTGTTTTCATGTGCTTATTGGCCTACGATCTTATCACTGGGTAAGTGTGTGTAGCACTCATCTACCCACTTACTAACTGGGTTATTTGTTCTTTTGACACTTGATCTCATTTGTCGCATACTCCATGCTCTTACTTCCCACTCTGTGAATACTTGGAGAAGAGTTTCTGATTCTCATCAGTGTCTTCTCTCCACTGATCATTCCTATTGCGGTGCATAAATGTTTGTAATTTCATGATCATATTCATCAATTGTTGCTCCTGTTATTTCCAGGATGTTCGGAGTCCTCTGGAGTAGCAGGTCCTGGACTACCCCTATACTTTTTACTGTGCAGAAGCTGTTAACTTCATGGGATCATATTTCTCAATTGCTCAATTGTTCCTGTTATTTCTGAGATGCTAGGAGTTCTAAGGAGTCAATGCTTCCTTTCAAAGCTGGGTGAGAAAACTTTAGGTTTTCTGTGTGTGCATATTCAGCCTGCTTTAGTTGTGTGGGATCATCACTGGGTCTTCTGTGCTGTCCGTGGGTCTGGGCATCTGGCTGTGTCCTGCTAGCATGCTGCTTTGTAAATGACTGCTTCCTTCTGAAGTCTTCTCTTGGCCAGCATCCTGGTACGGCATCTCAAACTTGTGTTTCGGACGACTCATGTCCAGTTTAGAGTGTGCTAATGACTTAGCTGCATACACACCATAACAAAACTTAATTTCACATCTCTACGACAGTGCTGAATCTGTAGCCATTTGTTTCCTTAGTCTCTGTCTACACATACTTATTGACTGGTCAATTAAAAATCTTTTCAAATTTCTGTGTTGGATGTATTAGCATATGCTTCCTTTTGTATATCCCGTATGATGTCAACAGAGCTCCCCTCTTCTGCACCATCTGAAAAGCTCACCGAAATCTTTGAAGGACCCCTCATTTCTAGCCCCACTGGTTACCCTGGGTTTACCAAGTACATCATTGTACACATGGCTAATTCCAGCCTTGTCTTCTCATTTTTCTTTCCTGGCCCCCATTCAAACTTATGATACTGGCTCTCAACAAGACAGCTAAGATTCTGAATAGATGCTAATGCAAAACAATAAAAACACAATCTAAGAAAAGAAATCACAACTTGTGAGTTGGTAAAATTTTTTTAGTTTTTTTTTTTTATTTCAGTATCGAAGTCTTTTACTTCTGGAAAAGCTATGAGTGGTCCAAATGTGTCATTTCAATATGGTAAACTGAGGGTCACAGCCAAAGCACTACAGCATTAGAAAATCTGCCTTGTAGAAAAAGCTGTAAACTAAACACACACAAACACACACACACACACACACACACACACAATTCTGTGGTTGCATGATACACATGGAGTTTGAAGTCCTCATAAAATCATAATTTATAAACACTTCATTTATCAATACTCATATGAAAGAAACAACATTTTAGAAAAAAACTACAGAGTATATCCCAACAAACATAAATTGACTGAAAGGTTCCCATTTAAAGGCATTTCTAGAATTGAAGTGCAGATGAAGGAAGCCTGAGAGGCTGCACGTACCGGAGAGGTGGCAGTCATCCATGTGCTGGGGGACCTGAGTGGTGAACGCGATCAGATCTGGGGCGAGGAGTGACTCCGGCTTTCTGCTCTCATTAAGCCACTTGGTGCTGTGAAGGTCTCGAGTGTCAGAAGGGCCCTGAAGCAAAGGAATCAACTTTTCTTTTCCATTGTCACCTGAACAGAAATATTGATTGGAAAAAAAATAGAAAAAAAATTAAAAATAGTATTTATGTAAAATATACTAATTTGGAAATGGTTGATCTTAAACTATACCACTAAAACAATGATTAATCAATACTTGTCACTTTAACTGTCTATCTAGTTAATAATCGACAGAGTGACTGATGAAGCTATTTTGGATTTTAAGTTTTGACGCTGTGCTAATGAATGCAGAGCATGCTCAGAACAGTTTATAGAATGAAATGACAGAGACCCAATTCAGCAAAATACGTACTATGATATAACAGAATTTAAGACTGCTAAAAGAACTGCAAATAGCTTACAGAGAACATTACAAAACAAAACACTGAAGACAGGAAGACAATTACAAACTAACTTTTCTAACACCCAGATGTAGTGTTTAAACCCACTCTGCTAACATCTTCATTCAATATTTAATTATAATACATTATCAGTTCACGTTGCTGTCAAAACTGTAACAATGAATATTCTTTTAATTTGTTCCTCCTAACTACTATTAAAACTATGCAAAGTTCTTCACCTTAAATCCAAATTAATTGGTAAGTATCATCCCTGAACTGTTTAAAATATTAAGTACAAATAAAACAATGGAAAGCTCTGATTCCCAGGAACAATGAGGAAATTCTTGTTTCAGCAAATGCTCCTTGTAAAAGGCGAGGCCGATTCTCCTACAGAGGCAATAAAGTTTTACACGGCACAGCTGCACATACCTGGGGCTTTGGCACAGATTTTTATGGATCCCACGGTCCCAGAGGCACATCTGACCAATGATGTGCTGCAGTACTTCAGCTCAGCATTCTGGATTGAGCCCTCAAGAGTTGGCAGGGGATTCTTAGCTTTCACACCTAATAAAAGAGAACTGCAAATGTACTAGCTGATTGAATTTAAATAATTTTTATATTCCTTCACCAAGGCATTTAAAGTTAATTATACTTTAATTATCTACCTCAGATTTTCTTACAGTATGTATGTTAGGTTTCAGAGTTCAATATTTAAAAGGTAAAAGGATGCAATTTTAAAATAAATGGGCTGAACTCTCATAATGATACTTACAAACAGATCTTGATTAGTAGGCCTCAAAACATGAAACAAAACAGATAAATTATTACATAAAACTCAAGAGGAAGTTTGAAAATCATGTTCAGTTTTAGAAAACACAATAAATAAGTTTAACTTATTTTGGCATGGAATTTACAGAGAAAACTGCCTGAGGGAAGAGCTGAAACTAGAGCAGGACAAGATAGTCTGTAAGCTAGAATGCAATTTCTTAGAACTAAGGCAGAGGGGTTTAATCAAAAAGTAGATATTAATCTCTCTACTAGAGGACAGTTATTAATATAGAAGCTGAGAACTTTAATGTTAATGGTCAATCCTGGTCTTGTCATGAAGTGGTGGCAGAGAACCCTAGAGAATATAATACTGATGAAGACATGGGGAGAAGAGGAAAAGGTGAGGGATCATCTCTCATGAAGTAACATTTCCTCGGAACACACTATGTGTTCTATAAACAAGTCAGTCTCCACAGAAGACCCTACTACAAATATTGCTATCCTCATTGTGGGGTAAAGTCCCATAGGCTGAGGTGAAACCTCATAGGATGGAGGGAAAACTAAATTTCACAGGAAAATCTGCAACCAGACAACATTTACTGAAGTGAAGACTTGCATTGTGTTATGCATACAAATGAATTCAATTTTCACGAAAGATTATGATATAAATGTTACTACCCTCATTGTGTGGATAAGAATATCATGAATAAGAGGTGTTAACAAAATTTTGCACCATGCACGAAAGGTTATATATGAAAGAACCAAAGTACTGAACAATGTCATTTATGACAGAATAATTTTGTGTACCAAAAATTTCATAAATATTACAGGATAATTTTTTCTTTCTACCACTCATTTTGAGTATATTCATAAATAGCCAGGAATACTATTTCCCTTCTGTTCCTCACCTCAAAGTTTAGTAAAACACAAAGTATTATCCTTCATATTTAAATATTCTTTAATTCTACATGATTTTAAAAATAAACTTTCTATGTCTTATTAAAATTTCTTCTAAAATCTCATGTCCAATTATTTTTTAATATTTATCATATTACAGTGTTCTGGTGTGTACGCATACAAATCTCATTATGGATCTCATTACGGTTGGTTGTGAGCCACCATATGGTTGCTGAGAATTGAACTCTGAACCTCTGAAGACTAGCCAGGGCTCTTAACCTCTGAGCCATCTCTCCAGCCCCCCTCATGTTCAATTATAATGTGCTCGTGAATACTTACTATTCACCAATACTAATATGCCAATATACGAAAGTTTTCCTGAACAATGGTCAGGAATTACCATGCTAAATGATTCCCAAATGACTGAGAGGAGAGCATGTTAGAAAAACGTCAAATACTAACCCTTGTTTCTAAATGAACTCTCAATGTTCTAATCTTCACCTTAGTCATTGTCCTGGTTGACTTTTTTTGTCAACTTGACACAAAATAGAGTCATCTAAGAAGAAAGAATGTTAATTCTGAATATGCCTCCATTAAGGTTTGCCTATAAGTCAGTGAGGTACTGTCTTGAAGTCATAAATGGAGCCAGCCACTCCTGGGCTTGATCTTGAATACTGTAAGAAGGCAGGCTGAGCAAGCCCTGAGAAGTAAGCCAGTGAACCACAAGCCCTGTAATAGTTCCTGCCTCCAAGTGCCTGCTCTCCTTGAGTTCCTACTATGACTTCTCTCAGTGATGGACTTTCACCAAAAAGAATAAGCAAAATAAGCCCTTTCCATCCCAAGTGCTTTTAGTCATGGTGTTTACCATAGCAGTAGGCAATTTAAGACAGTAATTATATAACTATGAATCAATTAATTGCTACTTTGCGATGTTTAGCGTGTGTATAATTTATAGTATGCATCCTCAGAACAGAAGCTGAGTTGAGCTGTCCCATAATTAAAAAGTGTATAAATCAATAAAGTGGTACCCAAACATTGTGTATTTCTCAGGTTTTGAGATGCCATGACAGGAAATACTTAAATAATACTCAATAAAATTAAATGTCAGAAAATTAAATAATCATAGTGCCAGCACTATAGTTATTAAAACATCTGACACTGACTGAATATTTAATTTGACTTATTTATTCATGACACAAAAAAATAAGAAGGCTACTACTATTCCCACTATACACATATGAAAACAAAGGTTTGGAGAGCTACAGATTTGGCAAAAAAAATGAATCAGAAAGTGAAATAAAAGGAACCATAGATTTTCTTATGAGAAAGGATGCATGGGGATAGAGAGATGGGTCACTGGATAAAGAGTCAGCTATACAAGCTGAAGAACCCAAGTTAAAAGTTGGGTGTGCCCACAGGTTCATCCCAACACTGAAATTTGGAGAAGGGAGAACCTCTGAAACTTTCTGGGTCCAAACCTACCTCCAGGTTCAATGAGAGAATCTATTTCAAAGGAAAAGAGTGGAAAGTGAAATAGTAAGGCATGCGATATCCTCTTCTGACCTCCACATATAAGGACATAAAAGTACAGCACACACATACATGCACAATACACATGCAAGATGTTCAGCTCTTCCGTTTATACGACAATATGTCATAATCAGAACATAATTTACCTTGATCCAAACACAGCTGAAGAGAGAAACATAGAACTAACACTCTCCACAGTTTCTCAAATCTTATAGACGATTAACCCACACCAATTGTTTAAAAGTATACAAATCCTACAAGAGGTGTGTCTTGAAGGTGGTCAATCTGTTCTAAAAAAGATGGTGCACGTTACATAGAAAGTAGAGCTTTACAATGATAGCTCCTGCTTGCCATACACATGGGGCCTGTGGTAACAGTTTGAATAGATATGGCTCCCATAGACTTGTGTTTGAATGCTTGGCCTATAGGTAGGGACGCTATTGGGAAGTGTGGCTTTGTTGCTGTAGGTATAGCCTTAGAAGTGTGTCACTTTGGGGGCAGGTTTGAGGTCTCATATGCTCAAGCTATGCCCAGTGTAGGACATAGTACACTTCCTGATGTCTGTGAATTGTAGAATTCTCAGCTCCTTCTCCATCATCATGTCTGCCCGCACGCCACCATGTTCCACTATGATGATAATGGATTAACCTCTGAAATTGTAAGCCAGCCCAATTAATTACTTTACATGAGTTGCTGTGGTCATGCCTGTGTATGTGTGTGTGTGTGTATGTATGTATGTATGTATGTATATGTATGTAGACAAAGACAAAGAGATATTCATTCCAAAAGCTTTGAGACTCTAGAGAACCCTGACTAATACAGGACCCTAAGTCAATCCTCAATACTGGTAAGAGTAGGTGGAAAATCATCTAAGAAATAATTTAAGAACATTTACCAAAACTGCAGAACATAAGTAGAACATCAGTAGGGCCTATCACATAAAAATGCATACATATATTTATGCCAGCTAATACCCAGTGTTAACATAGAAGCTCTTCAAAGCCTTCTAAAATAGCACCAAACAAAGACAACCCTAGACACACAACAAAGATAGGCAATGGACACAAAGTTAAAAATGGCATCGGATGTCTGAACAACTTTCTGACAGCAAGGAGGAAATAAAGCAATGCCTTGAAACACTATAAAAAAATAAAGCTCAATCTAAAAATCTATACCCAGACAAATTATCAATCACATAGAAAAACGTGCTGCTTAGCTGTCAACTTAGCATGCCCAGAATCACCCAAAGAGAGAAGTATTATGAGCAACCAACAGTCTAGGTCAGGTTGGCTTGTGGGGTTCTGCGGATGGGGCAGTTGTCTTGACTGTGATTGATCCACAAAGATCCAGGACACAGTGAATGACGCTAATCCCACCTTGAGGTCCTGGACTATGTAAGAGTAAAGTTAGCTGAACACACGCAACAGAGAAGCAGGCTGCAGACGTGATGCGTTAGACAAACAAGAGCCCATGCTTCAGAATGGAGAAAAGGCCACACCTGTAATCCCAGAACTCAGGAGACAGAAACAGGAGCAAAGTCTCAAGTTCAAGGCCAAGCTCATATACATATCGAGTTCCAGGTCAGCTAGCTCTACACATCAAGACCCTGTTTCAAAATTGGGGGTGAACAGGGACCTCTGAAAACACGTCCCCAGAGAGAATGTACAAAGGCCTGTCTAGATGTAACTTTGGGTATTTTGATCTATTACTACATCTCCAATGCTCCCCCTCCCCTGTAACCACCACCTAACTTGTTTTCTTTCACTTAACATGATCTTGTGATCACCAGAACTTCGTCTCTCTTTGTGCTGATATGATACTCCATAAATTCTGGTGGAGATTCTCTGGGTTATTTTTATTTGGAGAAATACCATTTGTCTACTTTCATTGTCTCTTTGATAAACTTGAAGAATGGTTAGTTACAGTTTTCCATTGTTATGATAAAAGATAAAATAGATATAAATATTGTAACTGTAATTCTTGCTTGATAACTGTTTTGTTATATGTAATTTTGCTATGTTAAAGTTAAAGCCTTCCCTTTTTTGTTTAAACAGAAAAAGGGGAAGTGATGTGGGAGTGTCATATATCAATCTGTTGATTTCATTGGTTAAGCAATAAAGAAACTGCTTGGCCCTCATAGGTTAAAACATAGGTGGGTGGAGTAAACAGAACAGAATGCTGGGAGGAAGAGGAAGTGAGCTCAGACTCGACAGCTCTGCTCTCTGAAGCAGAGACGCCATGCTCCCCTCTCCCGGGTAGATGCCATAGCTCTGCTCTCTGAGGCACACGCAATGAAGCTCCAACCCAGGATGGACGTAGGCTAGAATCTCCCTGGTAAGCCACCTCGTGGGCTACACAGATGATTAGAA